CAACCCACCACAGGGTTAATATGATGGCGCCTTTCTCTAGTAAGGGGCCCGGAGTAATTACCTTAGGAGTCTCAGGTGGGCCGAGTAGGAGACAGGTGAAGTTGGTCAGTCCCTTTCTAATCCTGTCCCCCATGGGGCAGCAAACTCCAAACACCTGGGACTTACCTGCCAGTCCCAGGGCCATTTTATAACGTGTTCCCCTGGAGGTAGACCCTGTGGCAAGGGCCAGAGTGAGTTATTGTCCTGACCAGTAGTTGGCAACCGTCCTTCGGTGGGCAACCGTTGAACTCGCATTGTGTTGACTAGTTGTCTCTGGGTTAATATGGCTTGGTCATTGGGAAAATTGCTCCTGAGATGTTCAGTTATAGTCCTTAGGGCTTGAGTTAGCCTCTGGTCCGCATATTGAGAGCATGGGTTTTCAACATCAGTTGTTAAGGAGTCCATTTATTCTTTCCATTAGCCCGGGAGCAGAGAGGTTGGAGGGCAGGTGGAAATGTCAGCGTATGTCATTTTTAATCAGCCCATTCCTGAACATCATGGCTGGTAAAGTAGTTTCCTTTTTCACTGTTGATGTCCATGGGGGTCCTATATGTTGCACACAGGTGTTCTAGACCCCAAATAGTAGGGTTTTCTTGCATTGTTAGATGACTCGGGTAGGTCTTTGGTAATGTCTTCCACCTTTGCAATGCACCGTAGATGCATATAGCTGTTGTTCCATCACACTAGATTGTTGCTCTGCCCTCTGCCATAGCTGGGACCAGAAGGTTACTATTATTTTGCCATTGCCACAGGCCCCAACCAAACCCTTCCGGGTAACTGGCCACGTCCAATTCACAAGCCTATCCCTGAGGTAATATCCCTAAAGCTTGTGTATGTAATTGTTTAGGGGTGAGGGGTCGGAGGGTGATGCTAGTCTTTTGTAGATAATCCAGGTCCTTGTGTGTTTTATTCATCAGCCATCCATGTGCAGTCAGATAAGCCATAAGCATTTGGCTGCTACTTTTTTAAAGTTACTTATTTATTTATTTTGCGGTACGCGGGCCTCTCACTGTTGTGGCCTCTCCCTTTGCGGAGCACAGGCTCCGGACGCGCAGGCTCAGCGGCCATGGCTCACGGGCCCAGCCGCTCCGCGGCACGTGGGATCTTCCCGGACCGGGGCACGACCCCGTGTCCCCTGCATCGGCAGGTGGGCTCTCAAGCACTACGCCGCCAGAGAAGCCCCTGGGCTGCTACTTTTAAACTGGAAAGAGACTCTGAGGTTAACAGGATATCATTGATATAATGGAAGAGAAAGACATACCTCATGGTAGTCAGCTGCCACAGGGCCCCACATGCTAGTGGACAGCCACCTCGGGATCACCCCCATAACTTTCTGTCCGACATCTTTATATCCTGACCTCACGGCACTTGTGGGAGTTTCCTCAGCCTCCTGGCTGGCCAACTATTGCGCTGTACCCCACAGAACTGCAAGCCTTGTAGTTGCCCAGCCTCAAGACCGAAGAAAGAGCCCAGAGATGGCAACAGAGATATCAGTGGTTTATTGGGTGAGAGGATCTTACATACCTGAAGCAAGGTCCTGGAGTGACACCCCACAGTGTGCATCAGACAGCGAGTAGGACATGGCAGCAGTCTTTACTACTCAAGGGAGAAGGAGGCTACAATTTATAGGGGGAAATGACGTCAGCTTGGCTCCAGTTACCAGGGAAACCAGCAGCTGGGGCACGTCCCTCACAGCCCCTCAGATTAACATGCATCATGAGGGCAGATGTTTCCCTTTAATAAAGTAGCAGGTGGGGCCATTCTAGCTGGAGGATTAGAACCATCACTAGCTGGGGCAGGAGGCAAAGACGTTCACGTGAGTAGGTTACAGGTGAAGGAGGAACTGGTCGAGTAGGGGATTCACAAAGAGCAAGAGAACAGCCATCTTGAATGACCTGATCATTCTGACACCTGTCAGAATGGCTATTATCAAAAAGCTGACAAACAATAAGTGTTGGCAAGAATGTCGAGAAAAGGGAACCCTGTGGATGGGAATGTAAATTGGTGCAACCATTCTGGAAAACCATATGGAGATTCCTGAAAAAGTTAAAAATAGAACTACCATATGATCCATCAATTCCACTCCTTGTTATGTATCTGAAGAAAATGAAAACACTAATTTGAAAAGATACATACACCCCAATGTTCATTGCAGCATTATTTACAATAGCCAAGACATAGAAGCAACCTAAATACCCCTCAACAGATGAATGGATAAAGAAGATGTGGTATTTATTATAATGAAATATTACTCCGCCATTAAAAAGAATGAAATAATGCCATTTGCGGCAACATGGATGGACCTAGATGGTATTATGTTAAGTGAAATAAGCCTGACAGAGAAAGACAAATACTCTATGACTTCACTTATATGTGGAGCCCAAAAAACAAAACAGATGAACAAGCATAACAAAACAGAAACAGATCTATAGATACAGAGATGAAACAAGCCAGAGGGGAGGGGTTGGGGGAAGTAGAGAAATAGGTGAGGGAGATTAAGAGGTACAAACCTCCAGCTGCACAGTAAATGAGTCATGGATATGAAATGTACCTTGTGGGAAATACAGTCAATAACTATGTAATATCTTTGTATGGTGACATATCATAACTAGACTTATTGTGGTAATAATTTTGAAATATATAGAAATATCAGGGCTTCCCTGGTGGTGCAGTGGTTGAGAGTCAGCCTGCCGATGCAGAGGACACGGGTTCGTGCCCCGGTCCAGGAAGATCCCACATGCCGCAGAGCGGCTGGGCCCGTGAGCCATGGCCGCTGAGCCTGCGCATCCGGAGGCTGTGCTCCGCAATGGGAGAGGCCACAACAGTGAGAGGCCCGCGTACCGCAAAAAAAAAAAAAAAAAAAAAGCCTTTTTAAAAAAGAGAATGAAAATGTAATAGGACAAATTAAACAGATGTTACCTATATAAAATAAACAATAACATGTTTCTCTCCATCCCTTGGTATAGTAGAGTATTTTTACTCTTCTTTCCTTTTCCAATAATACTTCTTCTAAACTACCTGCACCCTTTAAGACATCGTGTTATTCTGGTATATTGGTAAAATAGAATATAGGTAAACATGAAATTCACTTTGACATGCAGCTCTGCTCTTATTAAGCCCACATTACAAAGATTCTCGTCGTCAGCCTAATGTGATGACATCAAGTTAAATACAAAGCATTCGAGCATTTGTGGGATATACGTATAGAATTTTACTTACAGGCAGCATGTCCTTAGACTTGTAATTAATCTCTAGGCCCATAGAATGTCCTGCCTGATAGGAGTGTCTTTGTTTGCTTGGGGGCTCTCGCCACCAGTCTAACAATGTGATTTATGATAGAGGTTTTGGGACACACCATATCAGTTCTGGCCACTGGAAGAACTGGAGACTTGAAACTTCGATGCTCATACTTGAAAGGTGTGAGCTTGAACCTTCTGAAGGAGTTGAAGGCTAAAGATCAGCCTAACCTCATGGACAGAATGTGAGCACCAACAAAAAATCTGGAGACCACAGGCTTGGGCAAGCTTTCTTGTGTATATTGTCACAACTCATGGCCAAGAGGAGGTAATATCATCCTTGTGTTCAAGGAGAAGATGACCAGAAGCTCCACATTTGGATCCCTCCCACACTTTGTCCTATGCATCCATCTCTCCCTTTAGCTGATTCTAATTTGTATCTTTTCATTGTAATAAAACTAATCATAACTGCACTACATTCCTGAGTTGGGTCAGTTGTTGTAGTGAACTACTCAACCTAAGAATGGTTGTAGGAACCCCTGAATTTGTCAAGAAATCTGCATAATTCATCACATCAGAAAATAAAAGGAGAAAAAACAGGTTCATACCAACAGATGATAAAATAGCTCCCAACAAAATCTAACAGGCATTAAGCAGAACAGGGACTGAATGAAACTACTTACATATAACAGACTATTTACGCTAAGTCAATAAGCATTATACTAAATGTTTAAATAGATACGTGATTTCCATTAAATTGGAAAAATGAGGTAAGTTATTCCCACTAGTATTCAACTTTATTCTGAAAACTCCGGCTACTGCAATAAGAAATAGAAATAAAATAAATAATAAAAAATATTGAGGGAACTTATTTCTATTTGCAGATGCATGGCAGAAAACATAAAATATAAAAAAGAATACAATTATTTGGTATGGCTTAAAATGAAAACTGTATGCAAAACAATAAACACCATAACACAGTTAAAACACAAGCCACCTTGAGAGAAAATAAGTCCAACATTTATAAATGTGTAATACCTGGAATTATAAATACCTGGATTATTTTAAAAATCCTAAAAAAAATCAGTGAGATAACCCAAAAAGAAAGAGAGAAAATGCATGAATAAAAAAAGCACTAAGGGGGCTTCCCTGGTGGCGCAGTGGTTGAGAGTCTGCCTGCCGATGCAGGGGACACGGGTTCGTGCCCGGTCCGGGAAGATCCCACATGCCGCGGAGCGGCTGGGCCCGTGGGCCATGGCCGCTGAGCCTGCGCGTTTGGGGCCTGTGCTCCGCAACGGTAGAGGCCACAACAGTGAGAGGCCCGCGTACCGCAAAAAAAAAAAAAAAAAAAAAGCACTAAGGGAAACATCATTGGCCAATAAACGCATATGAAAAAATGTGCTCAATTCACTTGCAATCAGGGAAGTACAGACACTCATATTCAATAAATGAAGGGATTCAATATTGGTGCAATGATGGAGCAATAATCTAGCAATATGTGAAACACAGTATACACAGCACTTCTAGATATGCACCTTTGAGTCTCAACTCTTCAAAGAAATAAGAAAACGGCTTTCAGCGACTGTGAAGCTGGGGAGGTCCAGGCTGGGAGGACATCGGATCTCTTTGTCCTCCCAGCCTTTCGACCCTCCCCCAAAGCCCCTCAATAAACTGGTTTGATTCCAAAAAATAAAAATAAGAATAAAAACCCCGCACAAAATGGTATTCAATATAGCATTTTTATTACAATGAAAAATCATTTTGTCCTAATCACTGTTTAATAGAATATTTTAGCATGTTTAATACATACATTATCAAGCACCAGGCTGGAATCTTTTCCATTCTATAGAAAATCACTAGCCTTCCATTCAAGCAGGAAGCTGCTTTCAGAGTATAATGTGAGCTGCAAAAGAAAAGTGCCCTTCCTCACCCCTTCCCAACACAATCACTCACCATGTCTGAAATGACATCCTTGAAGACATTCATTGTGGTTATGGTAGCATCTACCAAAGTGGTTCACATTCTAAAGGTGTTAAAAGGTATTTGGAGTGAGAAGTGCACAATGAAGTAAATTTGAGATACACTATGTTAAATGAAAATTTCTTTAATACATCTTTCGACAAGCTGATAACGTGTACTTGGATTTCCCCCAGAAGTAGATACTTTATCCTTTGTTTCATTTACACTTTTTCCCAAGATATCTTTTTTCAAATATCATCAAGGACTAGTATTCCCTGAAGCAAACTTGTGGAGAATGTTGGTTAAACACTGGTCTTCTGAAGCTACTTGGTACTTGGGAAAGGCAAAACACTGGCCTATTAGTGAAGACTGATTTTGTAAGAAATTCTAAATATAACTATTTAGAATTATGAAGAATAGAATTTTCGTAAGTGAAGTTGGTCTAGATTTTGCTCTTTATCTTCATCTAGTTTTGTATCAGATTATTTCACCTGTGTAAAATTAATTGGTAAAATCTTGTTAAGGATTATCTATTCTTAAGGTTTTTACCTACACAACTATCAGATTTTTTCCTTAAACAGGAACTTCGTACACACACACATTTATTTGTTGGTCTGTGGGTTCTAGAGCACAGTCAATTGTGATAACATACTTATAGAGAAGAAAATGTAATCCCTCTATATTTTTACATATATTGGAATACATATAGTACATACAGTGTTACCTTATAATTAAAAGGAAAATTTATTGATAATCTGTAATCACTTTTATCATCATTAATGCTGAATGTTTATATTTCATTTTCTTTTCCTTGATTAGACCTGCCAAGATACAGTCATTAACATTGGAAGTCTACTAGTGTCTAATCTCTTAATTTCTACTTTCAATTGTACTTTGCTTCTCTTGTGTTGGTTTTACTTTGTTCTGTTTCTTGTTTCTTTACATAAATGCTTATTCATTCCTTTAATACATTTATCTACGTGACAGGCCCAGCACTGATTGCTGCAGGTAAGTGAAGAAGATGAAGACTGGGCCCACAAACGAAGTTTCCTTAATGCATTCAGGGGCACACATTTCTCACTGAACAGAACTTTGGTTACATCTGACAAATTTAGATATGCAGGCATCTCATTAACAATCATTTCTTAAGTAGTGTATAATTTCAGCTTTGATTTTAAATATTATTTAAAATACATAAAAAAGTAAAAATATTAGAACAATGAACCCTTCATAAACAGCTACTCTACTTCAGTAATTATCAACATTTTGCTAATCTACTTTCTAGCTGTTTGCCAATTTGCTTTCTTTTTCTTTTGCTGGAGTTATTTTAATGCAAATCTGGGTATCTTATTTCATATATATGTATCTCTAACACATAGGATGTTCTATCTTTTAATAACCACATTGACATTATCATCCCTAACAAACAAAACTAATATTTCTAAAAATCATTTAATACTCAGTACATGTCCACATTTCCCCCAGTCTCCAAAATGTTGTTTTACATTTTGTTCAATCTGGGTCCAAATAATACCCACATATTGAATTTAGTTGATATGCCTCGTCTTTTTTAATCTGTTAACAGTGCCCTTCTTTTCTTTTTCATGCCACTCATTAGTTGAAGAAATCAGGTCTTTTTTTTGTAGAATTTTACACATTCTGGATCTGCTTGGCTGCTTACTTGCGGTGCCATTTACTTTTTCATCTATTCCCCAAATTCTTGGCTTTAAAATTTTTGATTTAAAGGTTTGATTCCTTCAGTTCATTATTCTGGCAGTAAGACTTCATAGGTAGTGGTACGTACTTCCTAATTGCATTGTATCAGGAGGTGCCTATTGTCTGATAGTCCCACCTTGATAGACGTTAAAATTGAATAAAAGGCTCAGAGGTGGTCAGCTTGATAAATCCAATGTAACGTTCTCACTATAAACTTTTTCCCAAATCGTTTTAATATCCACTGAAGATCATTTTCTGGACCCATTATTCCATTAGGAACCAGAAAATTTTTCTAATCCTATCAATTTTTCTGTATTTACTGGTGAGATTTCTTAAATTAAAAAAAAATTAATTTGATGAGCTTTGGGTGACTCTGAAACTTGATTCACATGGGAAAAGCAAAATAAATATTTATTTTTCCATTTATTTATTGGTTTTCAGAATAATGAGTTGGTACCCAAGCATTTCCCATAGCAGCCATAACTGAGTAAATTATCAAACTGCTATTGGGGTCATGTGAAAAGACCCAACTCCCACTGGCTGAAGATGGGGCAATTTGAGCATCAAAAAGTATATTGACTGTAATGGAATGTTTTCTTTCTTTTATACAAGAGTATCATACACACACACACACACACACACACACAATTAAATTTCCAAGTGGTTAGTTCCTTTATGCCACCTTTTTGATAATTTCTAATTAATTGAATGGTGGTCAGAGATGAGAGATTATAAAACATTTACTCTTTGGAATTTATTATGGGAAAATAATTTCATATTTCTCTTTGATTCTTCCAATAGTTGTACTCTTAACCTCATATTCATAAAATTCATAAGGTTTCTTTTCAGCATGAAATTTTGGATGCAGCTCAAGTGATGAAGAACTTCTCACATTCAACATAACCTCCTGGATTTTATCCAGAATAAATTATCTTAAGTTTAGTAAGTGCTGAGCAGTGACAGGAGGCATTTCTACATTTATTACTTCTATAGGATATTCCTTTCATATGAATTCACTAATACTAATGATGTTAATAACAACTATAGGTAATATTTACAGAAAACATGCTATGTGGCTGCTATTTTTCCAAGTATTAACTACTCACTCCTCACAACAATTCTATTACATGATGTAGCAGGCTGACTCTGAATTGGCCCCAGTGGTCCCTTCCTCCTGGTATTCATACTCTTGTGTAAGCCTTTTCCCTTGAGTGTAGGGTGGCCTAGTTCCTCGCTTTTAACCAAAAGAAGATAGAAAAAGTGATGAAATAATGTCATTTCAATGATTGGATTACACAAGACGATAGCTTCTTTGATGCTAGCAGCCTCTTGCTTCCTTGGCTTGCACACTCTGATGAAGTAAGCAGCCACCTTGAAGAGGCCCATGTAGCAAGGAATTGAAGTCAGCATTTAGCCAACAGCCAGCTAGAAACTGAGGACCTCAGCGCAACAGCCCTCAGTGAATTAATTCGGTCAACAAGCACATGAGGTTGGAAGCGCATCCCTTCCCCAGTTGAGCCTTCCGATGAGACTCAGCCATGGTTGAAATCTTGATTTTAGCCTTGTGAGAGGCCCTGAAGCAGAGAACCCAACTAAGTTATGCCTAGACTCCTGACCCACAGAAACTGAGATAATGTGTATTATTTTAAGCTACTAAGTTTGTGGTAATTTATTACACAGCAATAAATAACTAATATACATAAGTACTACTATCACCATTTTACAAGTGAGCAAAATGAGGCACAGAAATTTAAGTACCTTATCTAATAACACACTGGTAATAAAGGGTTGAAATGGTGATAATGATAGATAAGGCTAAAGATTTTCCTGCATTCATTATATTATTTCCTCATATAAATTTGCTGAAGATATACAATGTCTGAATGGTGGTGGAAGGTTTTAAAGCAACAATTTTTTCTGAAATATAAACTTTTTAATGCTTAGTTATAAGCATGAAACAAATTTTCTCAAAAATGAATTTTCTGATGTTCTGTAACATGTACATTTGAAAGCCTTCTTGTATTAAATTCCATTATGAATTTTCTGATGCTGAGTAAGGTGTGAATGTTGTCTAAAGGCCTTCTTACATTCCTTACATTTGTAGGGTTTCTCACCAGTATGAATTCTCTGGTGTTGAGTAAGAAAAGAATAAAGTCTAAAAGCTTTACCACATTCCTTACAGTCATAGGGTTTCTCTCCAGTATGAATACTCTGATGTTGAGTAAGTTGTGAGAGCAATCTAAAAGGCTTTCTACATTCCTTACATTCATAAGGTTTCTCTCCAGTATGAATACTCTGATGTTGAGTAAGTTGTGAGAGTAGTCTAAAGGCCTTCCCACATTCTTCACATTCATAAGGTCTCTCGCCAATATGAATGCTCTGATGGGAAATAAGTTGTGAGTAACTACTAAAGGTCTTCCAACATTCCATACATTCATAGGGTTTCTCACGAGTATGAATTCTCTGATGGCGAACAAGTTGTTGCCTTAATCTAAAAGTCTTCCCACACTCTTTACATTCATAGGGTTTCTCACCAGTATGAATACTCTGATGGACAGTAAGCTGTTGGCATATTCTAAAAGCCTTTCCACATTCCTTACATTCATAGGGTTTCTCCCCAAAATGAATTTTCTGATGTATTCTAAGGTCTGGACCACATACAAAGGCCTTCCCACATTCCTTACATTCATAGAGCTTCTCAGAAGTATGAAGTCTCTGATGTCGAGTAAGGTGTGTACACTGCCTAAAAGTCTTCCCACATGCCTTACATTCATAGGGCTTCTCACCAGTGTGAATTCTCTGATGTCGAGCAAGCTGCTGATGTACTCTAAAGGCCTTCCCACATTCCTTACATTCATAGGGCTTTTCACCAGTATGAAGTCTCTGATGTTGAGTAAGTTCTTGGAGGACTGTAAAGGCCTTCCCACATTCCTTACATTCATAGGGTTTCTCACCAGTATGAAGTTTGTGATGTCTAATAAGGTGTGCACGCTGTCTAAAGGCCTGCCCACATTCTTTACATTTGTAAGGTTTTTCACCAGTATGAATTCTCAGGTGTTGACTAAGTGTTGAGCGACGAATAAAGGTCTTCCTACATTCCTTACATTCATATAACTTTTCTCCATTATGAATTCTCTGATACTCAGCAAGAAGATTATGCCTTTTGTAAGTGGACATTTTTTCAGAAGCAATTTTCACTTGCCCAAAATATCCCTCTTGTGGTTCCTTTTGCCCCTCAATCTTGCTTTTGCATTCCCAATCATTTCTAAAAAAGGAGTCTTGAAGGCCATAGCTTTTAATTCTTTCCATTATCTCCCACTGGAATGAATATATTTCATAAATGTCCTTTTCTGGAGATAAAGTATTGGTCCTGTATCTGGACTCCAAATCTGAAAGAAAACAAGAAAGCAAACACACGCTGTTTTCCGGTTCCAGAAGAAAGAAAACTATACAGAAATAAAAAGCACCTAAAATAATGCCTATTACTAAAACTGAGCAGGACCCTGTGGGGCTCCTGGGCACGGAAGCCTTTCTGTGTCCCCCATTTCTTTGTTTGCAGGGAACAGACTCCAGCCTCCATGACCTTCCCTGAGTTCCAAAGGGCAAATTCGAACAGTTGCTAATCAGGGAAGGGAGGGGATGCAGAAACAAGGAAGGAGTAGTCAAGAAACAACAGTACAGCCTTGGGGTGTCCTGGTTCTACCTCAAGGGATACACATAACAGAATCTTTGAGTTCTTCTGCAGAACTAAAACCCCCACCAAACAGAAGATGTTCCAGAGAGAAAGTCACAGTTTGATAACCTCGAGAAGCTCATCAGGAGACCACCTGAAGCCAGATTAAAGGAATACAGGCCCTGCACACACCCTGATCCTTATCAGCAACCCCACCCTTGAACCACTGCTATAAAACTCACCAAATCCTCCTGGGTTGGGACACACAGTTCTTGAGGCACTAGCCTGCTGTGTCCCCGTTTGCCTGGCAAAGCAATAAAGCTATTCTTTTCTACTTCACCCAAACCTCTGTCTCCGAGATTTGATATGGCACTGGTGCACAAAGGCTGAATTTTCAGCATCATTACCAGTGAATAGATTAGACATCTCTAGAAGATAGGCATCCTTGCTACAATAACACATATGTGTACCTAAAAAAACCTATCTTCTGTAAAATTACACACCAAAAATTAGAGTTTATGGGGAAAACAGGGCTGGAGAAGAACACTCAAATCTATGCAACTTTATTGGCAGAGCACTAACAAATATAATCATTGATATCTCAAGAGATAACCTGAAAGGCAGCTCAACACAGCTGAAGGCTGCATCATGGATATTAAAATGCACACAAAAAATTGAAAACACTGGATTTCAGGTGCTGAGACACTGTACATGAAAATAAAGCCCTGAGCCAGTGAGGCTACCATTAAGATGGAAATAGGATGACGTGAAACCTGTCATCAGCTAGGAGACACGCAAGGTTGATGGTATCCATGTCTGGGGAGGGAGCCTGAATGTAGGCATTTATTATTAATTTTCTTAATATGGAGGTGTAAGGGCTCTTAACAATAAAGTATCAAATTAAAGGCTTTTGCCTTTCCTGCTGAATGTTATAAATCTATTTCTACCATTCTGGCACTATTCAACAAGGAAAATTACCTGTGAAACAACTAAGTTCCACATTATACTGATATCATTCCCTACTTCATATCATTACTAAGCTAATTTGTATTATGGATTATTAACTGTATTATGGAACAGACTATATTCTCATACATTTCAAAACAAGGCAAAGGAAACAGAGAATAAAGGAAGTTCAGGAATGGAGGTGAGGTTGGTGATTAGGCAAACAAGGTAAATCAGTTGAGGCCTGATTTAAGTGTGTGTAAGAATCACCTAAAGGTCTGTTAAAACTATACAGAGATGTTTGACTGAAACAAGATCTACAGGACTAGTTCCTGCACATGTTTTTGTTTTGTTCTTTTTTATATCTGACAATAAATGACCCTGTTGCTGATCAATGTTTGAGTCTCTCTACTTAAACGTTTTCAATGATTTCTCTTTACAATTAGAATAAAACAGAAATATCTGAGCATGAATAATAAGGCTTCTGCTTATCAACTCCTCTCCCATTTACTTTCTCTGTTCATGCCATAAAGGCCTCTTTTCAGCTCACAAAATGCACTGTTTAATGTTTAATGCAACTGTTGCCATTAAATAGGGCTCTTGACAGGTTGCTCCTTCTTTGAGAAATCCTCTGATTTTGCATGGTTGACTTCTCTTCATCCTCAGATCTCAAATCAAAAATCACTTCTTCAGAAAAGATATTCCTGCTGATCCTATTTAAGTCTAAGCACTTTATGCTCTATCCCAGAAACATGTTGCTCGTCTCTATAACATTGCAATAACATATTTATTAATTTTCTCACTTGTTATTCCATTAGTCTCTTACCCCTAAGTTTTCCCAGTGGCAGAAATGATTCTAAGTTCACTTACTATTGAATAAGCAACCCCAAATTCGCAATAGATGTTACTCATTTAATTCCCACAATTATGTAATCACTAACAAATATATACATCCGTCTCTAACCTTTTTTTTTATTTATTTTATTTCTGGCTGTGTTGGGTCTTTGTTGCTGTGTGCAGGCTTTCTCTAGTTGCAGTGAGCAGGGGCTACTCTTCGTTGCAGTGCGCAGGCTTCTCATTGAGGTGGCTTCTCTTGTTGTGGAGCACGGGCTCTAGGTGCTCAGGCTTCGGTAGTTGTGTCATGCGGGCTTCAGGAGTTGTGGCATGCAGGCATCAGTAGTTGTGGCACGTGGGCTCAGTAGTTGTGGTTTGTGGGCTCTAGAGTGCAGGCTCAGTAGTTGTGGCACACGGGTCTAGCTGCTCCGCAGCATGTGAGATCTTCCCAGGCCAGGGCTCAAACCGGTGTCCCCTGCACTAGCAGGTAGATTTGTGACCACTGCACCACCAGGGAGGCCCTGCCTCTAATCTTTTATACTGTACTACAACGACTTGCTTATCTCCACCAGAGTTCATACAATTACTACATCAGTGCTACATTTACTCAAACACTTGCTCCTCCATATCTTCCCTAGGTGCTCCTCTCCAATCCTACATAGCCGCAGCAACTTTCGTACTTCCCAGAGAAGGACCTCAAATATTTTTCAATCATGCTAATATTGACAGGCTTATGACATCCTGAGCAAAAAGGCATGTGTAGATATTGAGTACAGAAGAATGGCTGTCAACTATGGAATGGGATTTGGTATCACCTGAGTACAAGAGAGTACAAATAAAGGCTATGTTAGATGTGGGCTTGAAGACAGTGACCCAGATGCGGGATTTGAGTGAAGAATATCTAAATGCAAATGAAGTAAGAAAAGAGATGGGAGAAGATGGGATAGGAGAGATAGGAAAGTATTTTTCTGCGACTACCGTATAAATGTATAAAACTGTTGAAATGACTCAAATCATTGCCTGATCACTGAAACAAAATGAGAAATAAAATCATAAAACCAAGAGACATCTTCACTTCAAAAATTTAAAACTATTTACTAAATTTAAAAAAATTGAAGAATTTCTAGAATACTGAAAACACCACATTATCAAGAATCTATGAAATACAGCTACAGATCTTAGAAGAAAATTCATCAATACATTTAAATAGAGCAATAGAAATGAAAGAAAAAAGTATATGAGTATCCCACTCAAAACTTAAGAAAAGAACAACAAAATATACTGAGGAACCCAGGAGAAAATAAATTAAAATAAATGCAGAATTCCATTAATTAGATAACAGAAAAATAATGAAATTAATATGCAAGTGAAAAACCCAGGTTGTTTGAAAAAAATTAAATGAAATATATTAACCATCTGCTAAGATAATAAGAAAAAACAGGAGGGACTTCCCTGGTGGCACAGCAGTTAAGAATCTGCCTGCCAATGCAGGGGACACAGGTTCAATTCCTGATCCAGGAAGATCCCACATGCCATGGAGTGACTAAACCCGTGCACCACAACTACTGAGTCTGCGCCCTGGAGCCCGTGAGCCACAACTACTGAGCCTGCGTTCCTAGAGTTCGTGCTCTGCAACAAGAGAAGCCACCGCAATGAGAAGCACATGCACCGCAACGAAGAGCAGTCCCCACTCGCCACAACTAGAGAAAGCCCGTGCACAGCTACAAAGACCCAACACAGCCAAAATTAATAAATTTAAAAAATATATTTTTTTTAAGAAAAAAAAAGGAAAGCATTCAAACAAAATAAAAAACAGCAACTAGGTATCAGAGCACTCCTTGCAAGCAAAAACACTGACTACCTTTGTTCTGGACTATAATTTTGAGAATGTTTGTATAACAAATACCCTTGGAAGGTAGAGATACTCTCTCTCTCTAAATCAACCTACAGGTTTGCTAACTGTTCAATATAATAAAGGTAGTATCTCCCTCAAAGCAAAGGTCATGCATGTGTATTACCCATTATGAAAGATTTGGGTTCTCTAAACTCCGGGTCCTCTCCCATAATGCAGCTCACTGAATGCTCACGTATCTACCTGGACCATCCGCATCACCCCCATGGAACTTGTGGGCAAAGAGGAACAAGGCAAATATGTTGATGTTCATGCTGCTTGTTGTGCTTTGAGCAATAAAATCCTCTGCCTTTGGATTAGGAGCCTTGTGTCTTCTGCCAGCATCCATGGCACTGCTGTAGGCTACTTGTTAGCTTGCAAGTAGGGTAAAATTTCAGACCCTTTACACTTCTTGACACTAACAAATTATTAATAAAACAGAATATTTTGAAAATCGTAAGGAACTACTATGGCAATAAAGGGTAATTTTCTAAGAAAATATAGAGAAAGTAGTCAAAGACCTTCTCCAAAAACTATCTTGAAGATTATCAAAACTTTAGAAAGCATGTAGCCCAATATTTAAAGTAGCCCAGCACGTTAAAAATAAGAAAATAATTCCAAGTTATTTTTTTCCAAGTTATTTTTTAAAGTTTATTTTATTTTTGGCTGTGTTTGGTCTTCGTTGTTGCACGTGGGCTTTCTCTAGCTGCAGCGAGCAGGGGCTACACTTGGTTGCGGTGTGCAGGCTTCTCATTGCTCTTGTTGCAGAGCATGGGCTCTAGGCGCTTAGGCTTCAGTAGTTGTGGCGTGCAGGCTTAGTAGTTGTGGAGCATGGGCTTAGTTGCTCCATGGCATGTGGGATCTTCCTGGACCAGGGATCGAATCCATGTCCCCTGCATAGGCAAGTGGATTCTTAACCACTGTGCCACCAGGGAAGCCCCCCAAATTATTTTTAAGTGAGTGTAAAAATGAAATCTAAACCTAGTAAAGGAAAGCTATATGCCAATATCACTTATAAAAATTCATGCCAAAACTCATAGCACACT